CATGGTGATTGGTCTTTCAATGCGCACTGTTTAGTAGTGTTTACCACATTTATAAATTTTATAGACAGCTTTCGTTTTGACACAAGTTTAATTATTTTGCTTTATATATTTTTATTCTTAATAATACAAGTGAGATTTAAATTTCTTGTTTTGTGGAATATGATACCGTTATTTTGTTACAGCTTTTTTTTAGAATACCGTTATTTTTTTACATTTTACAGCTTGTATCCAGGGGCGTAGCAAGTTGTCAGAAAACACAAAAAGTGCCCTTTTCCCGGTGGCAAAGTGCCCTTTGCCTTCGTGAAAAATGTTGTTCAGATTGCATTTTTGAGTCATGGATGTTGCAAAGCCTGCGAGTCTTTGTGGTTACTTGAGTGTGGGGCAGTTTAGCAATGAGAAATCTCTAGCCTGCTTGGCGCGCACTCTTTGCTGCGAATAGGGCCTTTCACAACCGGAAATCGGGCTGGAGCACGACAAATGGCACAATTTGCACGATGCTCGTTTGCAATTATTTTAATTCAATTTGTTTAATTCTTTCTGTCACTTTCATTTGATCTCACCCGCGAGTCGGCCTTGAGGCCTTTTATTTATGATTGCGATTATTTTTGCTTCCCTTCCTCCACCCCTCCCCCCTTCCCCGTCACAAACATTTCCTGGAAATATTTTTTAGGTGCTCTTTTCATTCCATAAGTGCCCCTCGAAAGCTGAGCCCTCCAACTTTTTTATGCTTCCTACGCCCCTAGCGGCCGGCCTGCTTGTATCGTCTCTACCATATCAAGGTTTGCTTGTGTGTAAATGCGTGTATCACTACGACACTATCAAATAACTATAAAAATATATTTGAGAACCTTGTTTTACTTAATAGTAACATAATTACTAATGAAGTAGAGATGTTAGTAGAAGTAGAAAACTCGAAAATCGTGTCTATTCGATAATTTTAAATCGATAAATCACTGACAGAAATTTCTGTGTTTGGCTAGTATCAAATGTTTACATTTGCTTTTCTAGTAAAAATCTTATACACAAGACGCGTAGTAACAAGCAATGTTTACGAGAAATGACAAATCTAATGGCGTATTTTAGATAGATCTAGATATATAGATATATAGATATTTTAGATAAATCTTTCTGTATTAGTTTCGAAACGTTCAAAACCGACTCACGTTTGGGAGGCAGTAAATTATGCAGTTTGTGTGTCGGATTGATAGTAATATTTGTAAAAAGTTTGTTACACATTTCTTCGCGTCATTGGAACAAAGTTTGAAGATTGAAATATTCTAAAGTTTCGCTATATGAGTTCGCGGGTAAAATGATCTTCAGTGCTCGCTTTTGTACAGTCTCAAGATCTTCTGACAGGAAGGATGGGATTGAGTAATGGAAAACCGGGGCACAATATTCCAAAATGGGCCTGATAACTGTACAGTAAAAGTTTACAATGTCTTTCGGACTGACTTTTGCGCGCTTAAGTAAGATAATGAAGTAAAGACGTTTGTTAGCTTTTTTGATGACTTGGTTAATGTGGTTAGTCCATTTAAGGTTACTAGAGATGGTGAGGCCTAGAATTTTAGCGTTTTGGACAACCGGCAATTTCTTCCCGTAGACTGTAAGAGGGTCGAAGTTCTGTTTCGTGGATTTAAAGTCGATTTGTGGTTCTTTACATTTATCTGCATTAAGAAGTAATCTGTTGGAATTCGACCAGTTTTCTACTGTGGTAACTGCGTCTTGGGCTTTGCTGGTATCGCCTTTTTTAACAACCTCAGAAACGGTTGTATCATCGACATACTTCCAAGTAGATACTTCAGTGATTTTAAGATCATTGATCATCCATAGAAAAAGCCATGGCCCAAGTTTCGTGCCTTGAGGGACACCAGCCGGGACTGCACCCCACTCTGAAACGCAGTCGGTTGCGAGTTTAACTCTTTGTTTTCTGTCCAATAGAAAATCAATAGTCCAGCGTACGACTGCCTTCGGAATTGGTAATCTGGAGATATTATCAGCGAGTATACAATGGTCAATAAGGTCAAACGCTTTTTTATAGTCGAACAGGACTACTCTGACTGCTGCGGCAGTGCCATAAGTTGATTGGGACCAATTGTGGATTATTGATGTCGCTGCCATAGATGTAGAGGATTTTGGTATCACTCCAAATTGGTTGGGGTCGATTTGACACAGAATAGCTGGCCCAATGTATTTAGAAACATCGAATTCTTCTGCTACTTTAGAAAGGATTGGGGCGAGGAATATTGGTCTTAAATGTTTACAAATTTCGGTTACTGGTTTCGTTTTTATGATTGGAACAACATCAGCTGCTTTCCACGAGGCACGGAGTCGTTGTTCATTAAAACTGCTATTGAGAATCTAACTGACAGGCTGGGCGAGGACTTCTGCATATTCGTTTAACACCCAATTCGGAACACCGTCTGGGCCTGAGGCTTTTCTGGGGTTAAGGGACGCAAGCCCTTTATACACATCAAATTCGTCGAGATGGAGGACAGAGTCATTTGGATCGTAGGAGGGAAGAGAAGTAAAAGGCTGGTAAGTTTTCATGGGGTCTAGGAAGGCTGTGTTTATGAGATTTGCAATCTCACTTGGAGACTTCCGGTCAATATCGTCAATGTAATTTTGGTTATATATATATCTTCCGCTCCCGTTGAGGGGGTCATACCAACAATCTGTTTTACTTCTTTCCACGATTAACTCAGTTGCGGTAATACCTAAACAGTTCGTTATTGGCGTTAGAAAATGCTGCTTGGCTTTTTTTATAAGAATCTTAAAATTAGCTGTGATCCAAGGGGGATCATTCACATGTAGTGTTATTCTTCTTTTGGGCATTAGGATATTGATACCCAGGTTAATAAGATCAGTGAAAAGCTCAAGTTTTTCTTCACAGGTTTCGAGATGATTTAGGATGGACCAATTACAGGAGGTTAGGTATCTTCCGAGTTCGCTCTTTTTACTGGGACGCATGTCTCTACTTATGACGACCTTCCGACTATCTGATTTATTGCATCTGTTTTTAGGGTTTAGAATGACCACATTGTGATCTGAGAGGCCAAAGGGAGGATGTTTCTCTACAGAGTCTTTAGCGTAAAACGAGTATAAGTTGGTGATAATTAGATGAAGAGTCTTGTCAGCTCTAGTAGAAACATTGACCATTTGTTTGCATTGAAACTGGTTCAGTAGACGGTTAACTTTTAAATGGTTGAGTCTCCTGATAACATTAGACCACAGCCTGGATAATCGCTTTCAATGGTGGTAAGTGATATTGAAAGGTAACTAAGCATTTCATGATCATCGGCGCGTGGTGGGTGGTATATTACGCCAATTACAAGACAGGTAAATCCACAGGTTAATATTTGGGAGTAAGACGTACCCAGAGAACCTCTAACAAGGGATGCTGTAGATGGTCTAAACATTCAAAGGATATTGAGTTCTTAATATATAAACCCACACCTCCATGACAGCCCACTGAACGGTTTTTGAAGATGAAATTATATCCATCTATATAAAGACACGATTCGTCAATAATTGATCCATGGAGTCAAATTTCGGTGATACAAGCAGCGTCTGGATTGTGAATTTTCATAAAACAAGAGACTTCGTCAATTTTAGGGGTGAGTGACATGGTGTTTGTGAGTAATATTTTGGGCACGAACGTCTTTTTGTTCTCATTTTGGGTTTTAGATGAGACAGTAATTAAATTACCGTGTGTTCTTGAGGGTATTTTATAAGATTTGTTAAAACTACTGTTTGTGATTCTAACCGTTATGTTTTGTAGGTTTTCCTGATAAGGGGGAGATGTCATGGGTTTATAATCGTGGATGTTCAGTATGTCAGCGGGGGCCAAGTAAGAGCATTTATCAGTGGGGGGGGGGAGGAGGAATCATAGGCCTGGGGGAATGGGACAAAAAAGTTGACCTTGTGTTGTGTCTCGTATTTGGTTGAAAAGGGGGAGCACATTGATAGATAGGGGTATGTAGGGAAGAACTTGGATAAGCAGTGGCGTTCATCCTGGGTCTGGGAGCCACCATACCATGAGAAAAACCGATATGAAAATAATCACATCTATCCCCTTTCAAACAAAAACCATTCCTTCGTAGAAAAGGACAGGATATTTTGTGTTTGTCACGACCAGGCTCTTTATGCTGAAAATCACAACGGTTCCCTTTAGCGCACCATCCTCGGCGGGATAGAAAGGGGCAAGGGATAGAGCTTTTGGGAGAGTTGACATACTTGTTATTTTTATCTTCGTTACTGACGCGGTTAAATTTTGAATTTCCGTTATTGGGTAAGTTAATTTCTTTATTCTGGGCGATTGAGGGGTTTGGCAGAGGCTCGTCTGCCGTAAGATCTACTTTCTGTTTAATTAGACGATTAGGCTGGCACTCGTCTGCCATACGATCGTCTGCCGTAAGATCTACTTTCTGTTTAGTTTGAGAGTTAGGCTGGGGCACGTCTGCCGTAAAATCAATATTACTTACAGACGGACTAACATATTGTTGGTTATCGTGAGGTAGATTGTTATCGATATTTCGAGGTGAACTCAAACTGTTTTTATTCAAATTAATAGATTGCTTGCGGTTACGCGTTGAGGGTTCTTTTGTAATATTAGATAGGTTAATCGCTCCACTGCCTTTGTTCCGATACTCTTGGGACATGAAATGCACTAATTTTTCAAGGTTCAATAACCTTGATCTAAAGGATAGATTTTCTTCGCTAAGTCGGGAAATAATTTCGTCTTGATTATGTACAACGGCTTCCATATCTACTAGTTTTACTCTTATCGAGATAATATCCGACTCATGCTAGCTCGTTTTCAGACATTGCGGCAAGCATTCGTGATTCTAAAATCGTCATATCTAGTTTAATACCCTCCATATCGGCGTTAAGATGAGCACAATTACAGTCAGAAAGCTCGGGTTCATTCATGCAATACTTATCTGTAGCAGCGTGTTCGGTGTCTTTATTGTTTAATTGACCAGTAACTAGTGCTAGATAAATCAGTTTTTCGCGTCGATACTCTCCTTTAACTTCCCATTTAGAGTTATTGAACGAGTACTCGGATGCCATCTAAGATCTAAATCTACAGATTTGTATTGCTTCACGTCTCCGCCTGGGCAACCCCATTCGCCATTAGTTGTCGGTAAAAATTCTTCGACAACTTTCTTTAATTCTTCGAACGAATCCTTCCAGATAAACTTTCCTTTATTGTTTATCGAAATGCCGTGTATTAGGCTATTTCCTTTGCACTTATTTGAGTCCATAACGTTATCGCACATCAAATATAATACAAAGGGGCGTTGCATATGTAGAAATGATGACCACTGAAAAGCCCATAAACGTTTGTTATAAAACGGCGCTCGAGTGCAGAAGAGAGCATTGAACAACAACAGTACAACACGAGAGAGCACTGCGAGTAACGTTTTGCTTGGTTTCTTTACTTGACTGTTGGTAAATGTAAGAGTGTTCTTGAACATTCAAAGTAAATCAAATAAACAAAAATTAGCAATGATGCACAAAATTTATGTTTTCAACTGTTGAACATAATATCCCACGGGAAGCATGCAATTTGATACTTTCCAATACCCCCTCGGGCGCTAAATTTTGGACGAGGCACGTGACAAGCCGATACCAGGGTCTTTCCTAAAGACCCTGGGAACGAGGTTACAGTGCGTGGTGATGTTTTTGTAAGATGCGTACACTAAATGCTGTAATTATTATTATTATTATTTTTCTCTACGCATGCCATCGGCGACGAAAATGCAACATGTTGAATAATTTGAGGCACTTGTGACGTTTTCTTCTAAGTGGCACAATATTTTGCGAATACGCATGTGTACTGTATTCGGCAACTACAACACTAATCGCTGCCATTTTGATTTCTGAAGCCCGCTGCACACGAGGGCAACTTCCTGAGCTAACCGCCTCGCGTGGCGGCTAGCTTAGCAAGTTGCTCTCGTGTGCAGATAGTTTTCTTGATTATTTGACCTCTTGAGGCCTTGAGGAAAATATATCTATCGTGTTTGATATTTTTCACCTCGCGAGGAAAAAATCTCATCGTCTGCGGATGTTGTGAGCTAAGTGCTGAGCTGTTTGAATCAATTAGCCAATGACAAACCATAGTTTCTTCATGTGACTAGGAACAAAATGGAGGAAAATACAAATGATTTTGTCAATTATATTGTTGTTGAGTAGTTTTCCCAACGTATAGGAAGCTTGTTAAACTTAGTGGGCCCGACTGTGCGGTGAAAATACATAGTTGAGCCAGCTGCCACGCGAAGCTGTTAGCTCAGCAAGTTGCTCTCGTGTGCGGCGGGCTTAAAAAGACGCAAGTAATATACGCATCGGTATTCGTTTAATATTCCAATTGCAAGCTGTCTGTTTTTCCTGTGCGAACCCAGCCGGTCTCACCACCAACTAAAGGGGTTAAATCCATAGATAATGGGACGCCAGTTCTGTTCGAATTTCCTGCCACATAGCTTGTATTTAATTGATATTTCTATTGTAAAATTATGTTTTCATAGGGTGTATATATTCTGTAATTATAGTGGCGAATTCATTAAACTTAATTAAACTATAAACTAAACTAAACATTATAAATACAGGTCTGCAAAATATTGTACATACTTTGTCTTCGTTTCTAAAGAGGCCTATGAAATCTTTGAAATGCATATGTGGCGAACGAAACATTTTTCAAAGTTTTAAAAATAGGTTGGCCCCTGCATATCACACTTTACTTAATGACCGCGCTCCCTCAGTACTTAGCTTATGTGTATGCAAATACAACAATCATCTTGAAGTGTCAGATCAAGTGTTTGACTGTTAATGAATAAACGCGTAACTATTCTGTTTGAAAGCTTGGCATTGTAGGGACAGAGCGGTGAAATTGTGTTTGGGATAAATTTGTCTCAAGTATAGTACTTATGCAAGTTTTTGTCAGACTTTTCAAGCTCCATTGCGTTTATAGACTACAGGTATTTTTACCTTTATATTTTTAGCCTGTATGTTGCTCAAAATAATGTTTTCGAACAAAGTCCACTATGACTGTGAATTGACAAACAAGATCAGGGCCATGCATACGTAACACTGAAAATGAGATTAAATAGAGGTTCATGAATAAAATATAAGAATGAATGCCACATTAAGTCTAAAAAAGACTTAGTCCGTGTGTTGTGACCTTGAAAAGTGCCTAGAAAACGATTTTCATTAAGCATGCCTTAGATCTGAAATACTTTTACGGGAACTAACACTTTCGA